ATTCAGAAGATCAAGGAACTAACTGGCTAAGAATCTTGTGGACTTAGTAGACTTAGTAGATCTTATACTGAACATGAGTCAGCAGTGTGATGTGGTAGCCATGGCCACCATCTGCAAGTATTGTGCTGATTCTGTGAACTTTGGCAGATCATGAGAGGTCAGGAAGAGTTGCCTCAGTGCTTAGTTGCCTGTAAGGTGGGAGCCACAATGGAGCAACCACACCCCATTTTGAAATGGATTGAGGAACACGAGGCTGAAAACTTCAGCAACCCCAGCCTGAAACTTTTAGACATGCGTTTTCAAAACAACAAGAGCTCTCTCAGCCCCACCTACCTCACAGGGTGTCTGTTGTGGGGAGGGGAAGGGAAAGGAGATTGTAAGCCGCCCTGAGACACCTTTGGGTAGGGAAGGGCGGGGTATAAATCCAATCTCTTCTTCCTCTTCTCCTCCTCACTGCAATCTGAATTTATTTATTGATTGATTGTTTTCTATTTATATCCTGCCATGCCTGCAATGAATGTGAACTGGATCTACTTAGTTTACCTTTTTTTTCTGGTAATATCCTCTCTTCCTCTTCTTCCATCTCCATTCTGAGTGTCACGGGGGGAGGGGGATAACAAAAAACAAGAATTGAATCGTTCATTGTTTCCTTTCTCCTAACAGAAATGTAAAGACAAGTCAAGACCAGAATCCTGAAAGAAGAAACTGAGCATCATAACTAATGATCATTATGATGACCCAAGTTATACTTACTCTTCTTTCCCATATGACAGTATCAATTATGGGAATGTTTCAGAAGAGATTTCATCTCATAATACCACTGATTATGGAAGCCACAATAGTATTGATAATAGTGTAGGTATTCATATCTCCGTATTGGTCATCTGCATTTTCGGAGCCGTGGGGAACGGGATTGTCATCTGGCTTCTCGGCTTCCGCATTAAGAGGAATCCTTTCAGCACCTTCATCCTGAACTTGGCCGTCGCTGATCTGGGAGTCCTTCTATCGGTTCCATTTATTGTTTTTGATATGAGGACAGCATTTAGGTATTATTATTTTTATGTAAATAAGATTACATACCTAGTGTTCTTGTTCCTATTCCTATCAACGTACAGCACTAGTCAATTTCTCCTGACGGCTATCAGCATTGACAGGTGTGTGGCCGTCTTCTTCCCACTTTGGCACCGATGCCACCGGCCACCACATTTGTCCGCCATCGTATGTGCACTAATTTGGGTTCTCTCCTTCCTGCTTACTACAATCACCTACACTCTCGTATTTATTTATTTAAATGAAACAGTGAGCATGGAAGAATACTACCAGTTTATTGCAAATGCCCTGCTGTGCCTCCCGGTCATGATGATTGCCACTGGGGCCCTCTTCATCAAAGTCTGTTTGAAAACAAAACAGCATCGGAGGGGGAAGCTTTTGACCATCGTCTTGCTCACTCTTCTCTTCTTCCTCCTCTTTGCTTTTCCATTGAATGTCAAATACATCGTCGACATTTTCACTGACTTATCAGAATACGTAACAGATGGAGCAATAGTATTAGCCTGTTTAAATAGCAGTGTAAACCCAGCTATTTATATCCTGGTTGGCAGACAATGGAGGTCTAGACAGAGGGAGAGCATGAAGATGATCTTCCAGAAGGTTTTCAAGGAGGAAGAAGGCTGCCTTGAGGAAGCTCCAGTTGAAACCCAGTTATGATGCCCATTCCAAGCTTCTTCCTTTGTCACAGGCAGATTCTATTATGCTCCTATGACACAAAAAGAAAAACCTGAAGGGTTATGACAGATTATATATCAAAGTTTTTTGAATGAATACTCTGTCTCCGGACAGCCCCCTGATAAACCTTGAAAAGTCATAACACCACTGCAACTGAGAACAAAGGCCTTAGAATGGCTTGAGTACTATTCTGCAATCCTTCTTCCCTGCCATATACAACTGGAATCCAGATATGTTCCTCCCACCGAGTCAAATCAAGCCAGCCAGCCCCCCTGAAAGGAATCATTACAGCACTCCCTCCTTGGGCACTTCTGCCCAGGGGTGCGACCACACCAGGGCTGGATTAAGGCCAATTGATGTCCTAAAGACTGCCCAGCAATGATGCCTGTTGGCCATTCCATTGCACAACTGAGAAGACGGAAGTGAAACACTCATGCCATGAGACAGAAACAAATGTGATATCTGGTGGCATTTTTCAAGTCGAACACAGCAGATAAAGACAATTGCAAAAAAAAATCGACCCGAGTCGAGTGTGGCAGTGAAAGAGTTAAGGGCATGACAGTTGTGGGGAAAAACTCCTTGGTGCCCCCCTTCCATTGGTGCCCTAAGGATGTTCTGATTTTGTTCATTGGTTAATCCAGGGCTGAAGATCACAACCAAGTCACACAACTCCTAGCTGAATTAATTCCCCAGCATTCCTAGAAACCTCTGTTTCCTTGTTCCCATATGTATTTTTTTTCCTTTGGGGTTCCTTGCCCATTACAACTTGGGGTAGGAGAGTTTACTGAGAATACAACCGGACAGTTGTAGGCCGGTGGAAAATTAGAGAGATACATTGGGCACCTGCTGGGCAAATTTAATGCAGGTTGGTTGAGCAGGATTTTACACTTTCTTGTTTAAGCTGTAAAATCTTATGTGTGCTTGCTCACACGTAAGTGTGTGTTGAGTTCAGTGGATCTTCCTCTCTAGAAAGCACGTCCAGAATAGCAGACTTACTCTTTCCCCTGAAAGTTCCATGTACCAGATGCTTTTTATCTGTATTGTAAAATATTCAGCAAGTATCCAAGTAATAATAATGATACAGAATGATTACGTATTCATTGTACCAATGCTGTGCTACTCAAATTCCCTATCTATAACCTTGTGAATGGCCTTATCTCTAATGCCAATAAAAACCTGTAGATAACATCTGGCTGGCTCTTCTCTTGCCGTGTAGTTTCACATAGAAATAGAAAGGGAAAGCTAATTTATTCTCACATTAATCTTTTACAGACCTACAATAAGTTTCATGAGGGCAGCCATGTTGGTCTACCGTAGAAGAGCTGGATTCCAATTCAGGAGCCCCTCACAGACCAACAAGATTTTGGTGGAATAAGTTTTTGAGAGTCAAAGGTCTGGCAAAAGGAGTTTTGACTCTAGAAAAATCACATCCCCAAAGTCAATGGAAATAAAACCTAACTTAAGAAAAGGAGTGAGCAGGTGTAATAAATCAAATCCAAGAACAATAATTTTAAAAACAATAATGAACAGAAAATAAAATGGAACAGTTCATGTCTCTGAAGGGGAACCTGAGAAAAGCAGATCAAATCTGAAGGTAAGAAATAGTAATGACCTCAACAAGACTTGTGACGGAGATTTCCACACGGAAGGAGTTGGGGATTCCATGCTTCAATGAAGCATGATCATTTATTTACATTATTCATAGTCCACCTGAGACTATACACACTGCATAGTCAGAGGTGGACTAAAACTAATGTAAATAAATTACACACTGTAAGTCAATGCAGACAACAGGATAAGACACTGTCAGTCAATTCACACTGTAAGTCAATGCAGACTACAGGATAAGACACTGTCAATCAATGCACTCTGTAAGTCAATGCAGGCAATAGGATAAGACACTGTCAGTCAATGCACTCTGTAAGTCAATGCAGACTACAGGATAAGACACTGTCAATCAATTCACACTGTAAGTCAATGCAGACAACAGGATAAGACACTGTCAGTCAATTCACACTGTAAGTCAATGCAGACTACAGGATAAGACACTGTCAATCAATGCACTCTGTAAGTCAATGCAGGCAATAGGATAAGACACTGTCAGTCAATGCACTCTGTAAGTCAATGCAGACAACAGGATAAGACACTGTCAGTCAATTCACACTGTAAGTCAATGCAGACTACAGGATAAGACACTGTCAGTCAATGCACTCTGTAAGTCAATGCAGGCAATAGGAGAAGATGCCATAAGTCAATGGACACCATAAGTCAATGCAGATAACAGGTTAAGGAAAAAGGCTCTCAGCATTAAAGGTGAAGTTAAACAAGAATTCTGGTAGGTCTACAGGAGTAAATAAACCTTACCCATTCTCCAGTTCATAGAATCACATGGAGCTGCATCACATGAGTCTAGAAGATTCTGGCTATCAAACTGAGCAAACATGATCATCTTCCTATCTCTTCCTCTCAAGGATATGACCGTTAGAAGCAATTCTTTCATGCTCAGCATATAGATGTGTCCTGAACTCTCTCTCCTGCCCTTTTTTTTTTTACATTCATGGTGGTCAACATGTCCCTGAGGCCCTTCATGTATGGAAGGCTATATCTGTAACTCAGCTATTGTATGGTGTTCCTATCTAGATCGGTGCATATGAGGTGCAAAATCCTCATATTGCTGTCCCCCAGCAAACAAAAGGACTTCGTAATTTGTAGATGGACCCTGAGGAGGAGTGTCGCCTTCCCGGAGTCACTGAACATGCATTTTCTATATATTGCAGGAAATATCAACTCTGCTCTTGACCTCTTGACCGCACACAGAGGAATGCAGATATGCACTTAGGACTGTAGAGCCAACATCATATTATTTAGGGGTTAACAGGTTGACTCTATTCAATACAGGAGAAACACATAACCACATAACATAGTTCTCTTGGTTGAGACTTCTCTCCATTGTCCCTTGCCATGTGGCCAAGATTGAGTCTTTAGGTCTTTAGGTCCATCTTGGCTACACAGCTTCTTCTTTGTGCCCTTAAAAAAACCTCTTTCTCCCTCCCCCCATGGGATAAACCTTTTATCCATTCCTGTTCCAAAGGGATGGGCACAAACCGGGAAAATGCAGTTAATTTTGGTTTGTAGTTCATGGTGTCACAAAGCAGCTTGAATTTTTAGGTGTCAAACAAACCAGTTCAGTTGGTGAGGTTTGTGATGGTGGTAAAATGCCCACAGCATGTTGGAGGCATCAACCTTGCAGGGGATCTCCAGGAGACTCTGGTCTACCTAACCTCCAAGTTTCATGAGGATTACATTTATGGGATCTGAGTTATGCCCCCCCCCAAAGATGGTCCCTCCAGGAAAGTCCAGGCACACATTCAGGAAGTTCAGGAGTGTATAGAACAGACCCTGTTCAAGCTTGAGACATCAGACTCCATTCATGAACCACCAGAAATGCTTGAAAGTTCAAGGAAAGTTTGTGCTGGTTGACCTGTCACAAGTTTCAGTTTGTGATCCACGAACCAACCAAGATTAATCACAAAGTTTCGATGGTGATCCTGTCTGTGCACATCCCTGGTCTCAGTACCTTCCGGATGTGACCGGGCAGCGGTGTGTGAGGTAGTAAGCCATTGTCCTGCTTCCACCAGACTCATTTGAAGAACCAAGAGCTTTATTGTCTGTGCTTAGAACTCATTGGCTGCTATTTCAATTCCCTTCCTGTCTGCCAGCTATAGTGTAGACACAACAACTAAAGACTGTGGGTGAATTCCTGGGTGGAATTATACAGCTCCTATCATAGATGTATAATAAAGTCATCATGGGGAAAAAATTGAAAAAGGAATAGCCTTTCTTTCAAATTAACCTGAGCAGTAATGTATTTATTTATTTACATGATTTATAGTCAACCATTCTCGGGGGACTCAAAGGATAGTGAGCCAGCACAATCACAAAAAATGAGACTCTCATTAACTAATGCATTCAGCTTGTAGAAGTCTGGAACCAGAAAAAGCAGAAGGATAGCATAAGTATTAACTTGAATAATTAAGCAGTACAAGAATTATAAAATAGGATCCTACATACAGTAAGGTATACACAGCAGTCTAGATGTCAGCGAGCTGCCATCTCTCTGCTGGGACATCTCACGTCCCTTCCCTTTCACCCCCCTTGTTTTGCTCTCGTATTTTTCCTCCTCTTAGGCAACTGCTGTAACCAAGGTCGCCAGCTGGTGAGAAGTGGGAGTTATGTCTTCGCACTCATGCTTGTTTAGACTTACCCGTGTGAAATGAACTTGTGTTTAGGGAAACGGGCGTTACTTTCTCATGTACCTTCGCGCCCTTTCTAATCTCCCCGTATCCAGCGGGAAGTGGGACCATTGGTCCAAACCTTGTTCAAAATTCCTTTATTATACCTGTACTGCTGACTAACGTCATTCCAATCAATTCCTGTGTGTTCGTGATCAACCATGCCTTTGAAATAAATCTTGCTTTACTTTTGAACGTGGATCTATTCTCATGCTTGGGGGATCTAACAATAGACAACAGTCCCTAATCATTTCTCCAAGTACGTTTGTAAACCATTTTGTACAGTGCAAGCCGATTAACTTCTGGAATAATTCCATTTTGTATAGTTGGTGGAAAACTAGGACACTGGAAGCCCTCCTGAACTTCTTAGGCAGGCAGTCCCATAAGACGGGAGCCACAATGGAGCAACCACAACCCATTTTGAAATGGATTGAGGAACACAAGGCTGAAAACTTCTGCAATCCCATCCTCAAACTTTTAGACATGCATTTTCAAAACAAGAATTGAATCATCCATTGTTTCCTTTCTCCTAACAGAAATGTAAAGACAAGTCAGGACCAAAATCCCGAAAGAAGCAATTGAGCATCATAACCAATACCAGCCTGACAACCCATTATGGACGCTGCCCTGGATTATGATGATGATCCTAATTATACTTACTCTTCTTTCCCAAATGACAGTATCAATGAT